TAATGTTTAACTTTTTAATGACATAATGAAAAGATAGTTAGCTAAAGAGGTAATAATTTGGCTAATTGCAGTGATTAAGTGATTGCTTCCATACAGTAAATTACTTTCCACCGTAGTCAGTGATCTAAAATATTTTCTAAACATCTAGCGGTTTTTTAAACAGCCTATATTTAGGTTGATGGTCTCCCTATGACCAATTTGTCAGCTGCACCAAGGAAGCGACCAGGAGACCAGTTGTCCAAGGCTGCAGGGGTCCGTCAGGATCTCTGGGTCTTAGCTACGCGTAACTCCAGTGGGAGTGGGGAAGGAGACCCTGCGGGTGATCAGGCGCATCACTGGTGCATTAGATACTGACTTTGTTCTTGAAAACCTCTGAGTCTCAGCTTCTTTCTCAGTGAGGAGGGAATACAAAAACCTGCCTTGCCTATGCATAGTCATAAAGCTCTTACCATAATGCCTGGTATATAGTTAATACTCACAAAATGAGACTAATTATTATTTTTTCAATTATATTCTTTGCACGAGATCATTCTTATACTTCTCCTGACTTTATTTGGCTGCCCATCAAGAGGACCTGTGGAGACCTTGGGGTACTGCAGAGTTGACCAGGTCACTGGATTCTGGGTGACAGTTCCTGGTGCTGCAAGATGGAACGGCAGGTGAGGTTGATGCGACGTTTATGGGTCTGGGTCCCTCCTCCACGGAGGAAGGCTTAGGAATTGAGACAAGCCAGTGTCTGCAGGAAGAGGTTATCCTCGCTGTCAGCACTGAGGGAGGGCCACCGCTCCATAAAGCTAGCCTCCCAGAGCCCAACCTGGAAAGTGAAGCCAGCAAATACAACGGTGGAAATCAAGCCTATTTAACAAAACTTCCCATGGAGATTTGAAGTCTGTTTTCTGCTGTCTGTTAGGAAAAAAATGTTTTTCTTTTTTATATTTTGCAAGGTTTTTACCACCTAACTTTCCCTTTCTCTGACATGATACATACAAATTGAAATCAAGCCAGGGTTCTGTATCCAAGTGAAGAAGATGTGGATAACATCATTAAATCACAGATTTACATCTGGAAAGGCTCATGTAGATTTGCGCTTTTTAAGATGGATTCTCAGTCTCCTGAGTGAAGTGACCCAGGGGCTATTTGGAATCAAATGGATAAGGCTCTGCATCCCAACGGCTGTTTCCCCACTGCAAATTAAGCAGTTCCACTCTGATCTGTATTGTATGTTAGGGTTTTAAATAGAATTCCACTTGCAAATAAGGATCCTAGGACTAAAAACAAGTGGAAAGCTAGAGAATTAGTAACTCTTCCATTTGATAAATGGATCTTAGAATGGGAAACTTGTGAGAAGTTACACATTAAAAAAAAAAATCACAGGGAGGCAGGTATAGCTCAGTGATAGAGAGCCTGCTTAGCATGCATGAGGTTCCTGGGTTCAATCCCCAGTACCTCCATTAAAAAAAAAAAGCTTTCCTTACCTCCTGATTATCTTAAATAAATATTGGCCATAAAATAAAATATGTATAAAAAATCATAGAATGAGGACTGGCAATTTGTTCTTCAGATTTTCAGTCCACGGACACGGTCCCCTGTATTATGTTGCCCTGTAAAAGTTAGGAAAAGGCAGGTAGGAAAACATGACACACTTTTCAGGCTACAGCTGTGAATACATTACAAAAGAAATCTTCCAGCACAGTGAAAGCAAAATGTCGTAACAGTGGGGCTTTCATTGTGAAAAAACCATATAAAAAAAGAGAGACGGAAGGGCATGTTTTCACTTTCCTTCTCTTGGATTCAGAGGTGTCTCTCGTATCGCCAATTAAGCAGCATGACTTGGGATAAGGCACTTTAGAAACTGAACAAAGTTTTGGGTCATAACTAAAAATGGGGGAGGGGCTCTGTAACACATTAATTTCATGACAGACCCTCAGGATCATGTTTCGGAGAAGCTCACGTGGGTCTATTTCTTGCTGCCGAGACTTAGGACTGCTTGTTGAAGGCAGCGCCCCGTGTGGTCCTCGGCTGTAGCACTAACAGGCAATCACGATCAGCTAAAAAGGATGCACCTTACTCAGAAGTATTGAATGGAACCTTGTGGTTCCCAATCAGTCATAACTCCATGTGCTCCCTTTTCCTTTATCTGGTTGTGACTCTGGACTTTGTATTCTACCCAGGTAGTCTCACTTCAAAGTGTGACATGATTCCTCTCTAGGAATCTTGGTTCAGGCTCATCTATTAGTCCGGGGAAGGTCTCTCCTGTTTCAGCACCTCCGCCGTAGTCTGCAGCCCACCCACAATCCCACCTTCAGTTAGCGCACAATTAAGTCAAACAGAGGCCTTGTTTCTCCCCATCCCCAGTTCCAGGCGTACTTCGGTCAGTAAATTCCTCCTATCTTCAAATTCTAGTGCTGCTGAGGAGGAGAAATCCTCAGTACTTACAGGGTACAGGAGAGCAGTGCGTTCAACAAAAAGAACATAGGCAAGACATCCACGCAAGTGGGAAAAAAGATAGTCAATTTGGGCAAAGAAATACAGCTCAACCATTGGTGAGTTTTGAGCAGTTAGGACTGGTAAAGGGACCCCCATTCCCTGGTTCACTGTGGTTTTGCAGGGACAGCCACAGAATCTCTCCCAGGGTAGGACTGCAGGGGGAAGCCAGAACGTGTAGTAATTACTCTGTTATTGCCAAATGGTATTTGAGAAACTTGCAGATCGCTGTGGCTAAACCTCCATCTAGATTCTTCTCCCTTAATTCAGTGCCACTTAATGTGATTCTAATTGGCAATGTGAGCCTTCCTTTTTTTTTTTAAGGAATAAAATAAAAACAAAAGGCAATCATATTGTCAGCAAGAAGTATTCAATATAATGTACTTTGGGTTGTTTTCACATTATAACTTAACTAAATTGGCCTTGCTTATCAGACCAGTTGAATAGAGACATACACTGTGATTTAACAAAGGGATGAAAACATAAAATTTATGCACACACATCTAACTACCTCTCTGTAGTTAAATGTAATTGCTGTTTTCCAGCAGAAGAATTTGCGGAGAATGAAAATGAAAAGAAATAAAGGCTTGGGAAAGTAGCACCAAATGGATAGAAAATATGAGATTAATTATCTCCATGCCAAAAAAAAATCTGTTTCTTATAAAGAACTGGAGAGCTTTCAACTTCAGAAGTTCAGAATTATTTACTTTTATTTTTTTCCAGAAATGTTCGCACTGTCAGTGGAAGAATAACATGTAAAGAAGAATCTTTTATCACATGAGCTTTGTAATATAGAGCTGGGAGAGGGTCCAAAGAACTCCTCTGGTCCAGTCCTCTGTGTCCAATCGGAAGACCACTCCAACTGCCTGAGATAAGTGGTCCCCGTCTACTTTGACTAGCTCTTTCTTTTCTGTAAAAAACAACCAAACAAAACTAGGAAGATCTGTTTTTCTTCTTGATTCTTAAAATTTCTTCAAAGAAAAATTTGTCCGAAATGTTACATATTTCAGACTCAGTTTTAAGTCTGTTTTGCTCTATTTCATGTAATGTCTAAGAAAAGGATCAGGTAATCAGCAGTGCACTAACATTTTCCCAACAGGTATTAATTTAGCCTTATGTATATGAAAAAAAAAGAATGGCCTATTTAAGGGGGGACCAGTTAGGAAAGGAAAACTGTAAAAGAATTTCTTTTAGATGGTGCTCATTCAGACACCATCCAGAGGAAAAAGAATGTTGGTCCCAGACCTAAAGTATTCCGATCAAACTGGGCACATCTATTTTGAGATCAATGTGTCTTAGCGTGCAGACAGTAAACTTGAAGTTCATTTGGCCCCTGATTCAATACTTAGCAGCAAACTTCTGTTAATATTTGGATGTCCATGAGGCTCTGCCTACAAAGAGAAAATAACCTTGCCTTGGACAGACCATAAAATGCTTGCAGTCGGAGTCATAGCCAGAACCTTTTACGGGAGAGAGCAGCTTGAAGAATTCTTTCGGTTTAAGATTGGCAGTGGCTTGTGGCTCAGGAGAAAGGTGAAGGCAACGCTGCTCCCTAACCACAGGTGGTGGTCCTAAGGGTCCACTCATGGGCCAGGCACGTGCAAACTAACAGCAATGAGCCAGGTACTAAACGCTCCCCCAGCCATTCAGTCTCTTCCAGAGAGCACGCCTCTGAGGTGACCCCAGAGTGGCTGGAGAATCCTATGGCTGGCAAGCTGCGTTTCCAGCAACCTCGGAGGCCAGACGTGCTTTTCCACCATAGCAGCCCTCCCAGTGATGGAGATTCTACGTCTAGAAAACAACCAGATGCAATCTCCCAAGGTAAGGATCCGGATTAATTTCTGAAATGTGTTAATTATCTGTGAGAGACCTGGATTCTCTACCTTTTTTCCTTATTTCAGACTTTACACTTTTTTAAAAATCTCTTATTAACGGCAGGGCATGGGGATGTTTGTTGGAGGATGGTTTACTATTTGCCGTTAATAAAGGAGGACTGGCTGGGAATTTCCGTGTGGGCCTGATTCAATTCCCAGACAAACAGGTGATGATTTCCCTCTACTCCTGTAGTTCTCCTTCTAAGATGTGTGCTTTCTGTTTGCACATATGGCCGCACTTTGAAGATTTTTTTCTAGCTTTTACTTATTTTTATTTATATCTTGGCTGAGTTAATTATCTTCAGGGAATATTTGTGGTGTGTTCAATGGAGAGTGAGAGAATGGCTCTGGAGATGGACATGTTTAATTAAACTAAAAATTCTCCAACACATGCCTATGGAAACTGGTAGCTCAGAATGCTTGTTCCTGAAACAAATCTGGGACACATTTAAATCTATACCGACTCAGAGCCTGTATGTTAATAGTTATTTCTTTTCTGTGTACTGGGGTTGATGTGGATGGGGTTGGGGATGGGGAAGTAAAGGGAAAGCCAAGAAAGAAAAAAAAGACTCTACACAAAAATCAGAATGATATATTCACATGTCTGCAACATGTAAAACTAAAGATGTGTCAGAAATGGCTGATGAATTAACAAGTTTTTCCAGTGCTGCTTCAGCATCTAATGGTTATTCTTCGTACATTTATAAAGGTTTGTTGATGCAAAGAATTATAATGATAGATTTCTTGATCTCACACTTGTAATCAGGAATAAATTCTGCACGTTCATAGTGTATCCTTTGAAACGCTAGGCACTTGTGTCTAATGGATGCTGTGTATGCTGCTCTGATGCCACCATCAGCGGGAGGTACTTACTCCCCCAGCTGTCCTGAGCTTTGGAGATGCTGGTGGCTCACAGCTGAGTTTCTCAGGGAGCAGCCTGCCTCCCATGATTGGTTCAGCCTCTCTGTAAATGAGGCTGAAGCCCCCTTTGTAACTGAATTGCACCTCAACCTCTTTCTCCAGTCCCGGTCCTGGCTTCTCCCTTTCTTAAAGGCATTGTTCCTGAGAGCGCACCCCCAAAACCTTTGGCTTGCGTACTTCCACCGCAGAGTTCTCCAGGGAACCTGACCTAAGACAGAAGCAAGTTGCATTTTATTTGCTCATATTTTAGTTAAAATTTTGAAATCTGCAATTTTAAGTGTGATGAGTCCAGCATTAAAAAATATTTATCATCCAGCTTTGGAATTAAAATTAATCTGGCTTCAGAAAATGAATTAGAATTTTTTTTTCTTTTTCCATGGCCTGGAAATATTTAAGCCGCATTGGAGTCGTCTGGTCTTTAAAGATTAAACCCATCTGGTTTTTGTGACTTTTTCCACGATGGATTCTTCGTCACCAGCCCGACATCTCCTACAGTGATTGGCAATTTAAGTAATTTGTATTCTGTGAGGAAATCATTCACTTCTTCTGTTTTCCAATGTGTTGCCATAGAATTGTGAGCAGTAATCTCTTATAATTTTTTTCAGTCATGCCCGTATCAGTGGTTTGTGTCATCTTTAATCCTGCATATTTTTCCAAGATTCCGTCTCATGTGTGTGCATGCCATGTGCACTCTCTCCTTCCATCAGATTCACAGTGAATTTATCTGCTTTCTGGGTCATAATTTTTGTTTTTAACTTTTGAATTTATTTATCCTTTCTGCCTTATTTTGGTTGGTTTTTGTTTTCTAGCTTATTCATTTAAAATTTATTTAATCCTTCTTAGTTTCTTTGTCTCCTGGTCCATTCTTGTTGGCCTCTGGAATGATCATCCTCTTCTTCATGTGCTGAAATGTCACCTAGGGAAATTACGCTTGCTTTAGCTCTGGAAAGTGTTCATGGGTGCACGTGTGTAAGCGCTGCATTTGACTCTTGTGAACATCTTTCCCTCCTCTTTCTCTCACGGTAGTTCTGTTTCACCAGGAATGTATATTTGTCCCGACTGCCCTTCCTCTTTCTGGCTGCTGGGTCCTGAGCGGGTTTTTACATCACTGGCTTTTTCTGGGCTGGCTGACGAGACCCCCCACATCACGGCAGTGTGGTGGGTGGTGGATGGTGGAAATCCCATGTGGGCTAGCAGTGCAGTGGCTGGAAGGTTGCTAGTCTCCAGGTCAGCTACCAGGAAAAGGCTCCAGGCTCCAAATCTTTTCTTACCTCTAGCCTTGGGAGTGGGAGGACCTAACCCACATCCATTCTGTACTTTTTCGCTTATTTAGGGGACAGGATCTGACACCTTAGTGTGGGGCATATAATGGCCTTTTCTCTATGGTAAGCAGATCCCTGGTTGGACAAGATTTTTCCAAAATTTCTGCTCTGATTCTAGTCCAGGGCGCAGTCTGATGCAAGTTGCAGGCCGTTGCCCCACCCCAGGGGAAAGCTGCATGTTGATTGTCTCCCCTCATGCCCTCTGGGCCCGAGGCCATGCTAACACCAGCTCTGTATTGGTCTGAGCCACTGCTCAAATTAGACGTGATCTGGATTTGGGAATAGAGGAGTGGCAGCGGTTAATCATTTCCTAGAATCCTCCCTTAGTGTCAAAGACTTGAATTGTAGCAGGGTAAAACAGAGAAGCGTTTCTCTGCTCATCCCTCCTTTTTTTTTTTAAACCCAGTAATTTAGTGATTTTATCTACGTTTGTATGAACCCCTCTGTGATATATGCTATGACATTTTCGTTTCTTGAACTATCAGTGGCCTCAGAGAAAACTGGTCTGCTAGCCCACCATTTCCAACCATAATGTTTAATTTCACTACTTTAAATGAAATTCATCATTTTGGTGAGTTGGCCTGTAGCACTTAATTGGCTTACATAAAATAACTTTAACTCTCTCATCATTATGTTTAATTACCTAGGATAATGTTTGCACACAGTTCATTTTGGACGTTTCTCCAAGATGTTAAATTGCTTAAAAATAGACATGGCATACACTATAAAGATAGCCACATCTGTAGATACAGATCTCCATCTGGTAAACCTAATATATATATATATAGCTAAATTTAGCCCAAAACAACAACAAAGATACTCAGTTTAAATTGAATTTCAGATAATCAATAAAGAAAAATTTCAGTGTTAAGTATGTCCCGTGCAATATTCATTTAAATATCATTTAAAATATTTATACTAAAATTTTACTCATTGTTTACCTAAAATTTAAATTGCAGTAGAAGTCCTGTATTTTATCTGGCAACCTCAAAATATGATACATGCAAATATAGATTGTGTATGAGAGGGAGAGAGACAGAGATGAAGGTTAGTAATTAGCCTTGAGAATTTTCCAGGCTAAAATCACCAGGGCCGTGCTTTTTGGCAGAGACTCTAAACGATGCTAGCGGTTAACTGCATGAAGGTGTGAATCTCTCTTGCTCACTGTTGTATCTTGACAATTTCTCATACATGGTGCTTGACACAAGCTGTTTTCCGTAAATGTTTTCTAAATGAACGGACTAGTTCTTTCTGAATCCCAGAGCCCAGATGGTAACGGAACAATAATATACATTTTCTACTAAAATGGGGAAATTTAAACTTAACCAAAGTACCTGTCCATCATTTTTATCTGTTTGCTTATTGATGCTTCATCACGAGGAGAATTTGCTAAGAGTTTCAAAACTGCTGTCCTGTGAGATGGAACTCGCTCAACCATTTGTCTTTTGGCGTGGACCATTATTTTTGGAGGAAACTCTGAGACGGGCGTGTCCGGATTAGGCTCTTTACCTCGCAGAAGGTTAATCATACCATCTGCATTCTAGGCGTTTGCACTTAACTCTCAGCTGTTTAAGGCTCATCACAAGCACTGTTTTAAGAAATAATATGTGTTGAGGAATTGCCCAGGGATGAGGAGTCTACTC